ATTTTATTTATTGAGTTCTACACAATTTTACCTTTTCAAATGCTTTTCTTTTGTCTGTTCATTGCACACTAAACTTGCTCACAGAAAAGCCTTGATCTCAGTGGACCTAAACCTCTTGAAATAAATGCAAAACAAATGAAATGCATCACAGGATGACAAATCACCAACTTCACTCTCATGCACAGCTACATCATGACATCCCAAAACCACCGAGACTGATATGAGCGCAGACTCAATCCCTGGGCTACTGACTATAATGAAATCAGTTCTCCACAAAACTATATGATGTTACATTAGCCTGAACATCAGCACAAACAAAATAACAAAATCACCCAGCAGACACAAACACCTAAGCAATATCTAGCACACTACTGTAGTATTTATTATTTCTACTACTGTAGTATTTATTATCATTTTGAGCTTTTATTTTTTAAATTTGATTCTAAACTCTAGGTATAACATTAAATCTGATAGTAACTTTGAACTAAAAAAAAAAAAAAAAAAAAAAAAAAAAAAACGCTTCAGTGCGCTGGCACACAGCCTCAAGGTTATAAGGTTAAGATTTAATAATTTAGTTTATTTGTATTAAGTGTTTAAATATTTAGCTTTCATTTATTATTTCAGGTTTAATTTGAGCAAGTTTAATACTTTAACTTAAACGTATTTCTGTTTGTTTTTTTAATTCCAGTTTTTCATCTATACTTGCAGCTTTATTTCACTGAATGATAATCATTGTTAATGATTTTAAAACACAGCCAGCACTAAAACAAACATCACTAAACAAATAATGAAAGCTAGACTCAAAAGAGTGAAAAAAAAGTGCAGGAGTTGGAAACATTAATCTGATATTGCCATCACAGTAGAATAAAATAGATTGTTTTTACAAAAAAAAGAGGCACTCTTAATATAAGTATAATATAATGTAAATAAATCACTGGCTGGATAAGACAAATATTTCACAGTCCCAGTGTCTGCAGGTAGCACGCCTACTGTATATGTATCTGAATGAAAAAGATAATTACTGCTTGACTGAAGTGGATTTGAGAATTAAACAACATCTGAGATGCAATCACTTTGATTCCTGACATACGACTTCCATGCCACTTACTGGTTTGTTTGTTTTCCATAGTGGAACGACACACCAGAGGAACGTTCTGCAGATTTACTGAAAGATCAACTGTGCAACTGAATCTCATAACGGAGTTAAATTCCCCATTATGTACAGCAGATGCACAAACGCACAATCTGTGTTTCATAATGCATCTGTTTGCACTCCCACTAGAGAGACGTCAATGTGCCTCGTCGACCGACACATTCACTGTCTGGATTCCCACCGACGCTCGTGTACAATCCCGGCACAACGAATTCAGAGAGAAAGCACGATCCCATTAGCATGCAAACATGGCCGGAAACGCATCAAAACAGAATACAGCACAATGCAACACGGTTTTTTGTGATTTGAGGTGTCAGAACAACAGAAAGCCACAGCAGGCCAAGGCAGAGCTCGGGGAGAAACAGCCAAACCTATTTACTGGAGTTTCAAAGAGAAGGTAATTAACGGAACAACCCAACAGAGTCACTAATTAACTCGGTCCTCCTGATATTCAGCCGCACAGAAGTGCTCTGTACAAACACACAAGCACTGCGAGGCATTGTAAACAAACAAACAGCATCACAGAAGAAACATCAACACCCTCTGCTGCGCTGATGCGACTCTCGCCTGGCTTCTGCTGAGTCAGAAAGTACTGCGGATCCATTTGATCCGGTTCTCAAACTGAACTCAAATGATATGCTGGGATTGGATAACAGCTCAGTCAGTGGAGTGGAAAAGTATCCCTGAATAGTGACTCAAATATTGGTTCTTCCATAAAACTTTACAATCACATATGTTTAAAGTAAAGAAGTGCACTTTAGCATACTTTTCAAAAAGTACTTATTACATATATAATATACTTAAAGGGTTAGTTCACCCAAAAATGAAAATTAAGTCATTAATTACTCACCCCCATGCTGTTCCAACCCCGTAAGACCTTCGTTCATCTTCGGAACACAAATAAAGATATTTTTTAATGAATCTGAGAGCTGGATCAGTCCTACATAGACTGCCTAAGGGACTGGCTCTTGACGGCCCATAAAGTCATTAAAGAAAAGGTTTAAATATTCCATGTGCCTACAGCGGCTCAATTATAAGTTTATCAAGCGACGAGACTACTTTTTGTGCGAAAAAAACATAAATAACGACTTTATTCCACTATTCCATTACTTCCTTATGGGCGCATGCGCGAGGACTGAGACGAGGACGTTCTTCTCCTTCGACTACTTCTTGTTACCGGCTGCTCACCGCTTAGGAGTTTTACCGCCACCTACCGTATAAAATGATGATCCATATATAAGGCGCTCCGGATTATAAGGAACACTGTAGTTTTTTGAGAAGATTAAAGGCTTTTAAGTGCACATTATAGTGCGGAAAATACGCTAATTGAAAAGCGTATGTACAGCGCGCATCTTCCTCTGCTTGTAAACAGAAAGTTTTGCGCTTCCAGCTATATCAGCACATCATCTTATACCAGGGGTCGGGAACCTTTTTACCAAGAAGAGCCAAAAAAACTAAACAAAATTGAGAATTTTTTCAAAAGAGCCAGAGCAAAGTTTACACTCGTATATTAGACAAATTTACAACAGTAATATATAATAACAACAGTAGTAATATACGACTTGCACTAGTAGCAGTTCTGGTAGTTATATAACGTTACAACAACACTTTTTTTCCAAAAAAAAAAAAAAAAAAAAATGTGTGTGGGGTGGGGCTGACTAGCTTTCGCGAGGCACATAACATACGCGCGTGTTATGCGCGCAGCATGTTCTATGTCGCTCTATTCCGGGAGATTTTAACTAATTTTCGGGCATCAGGGAGACCGGAGACGCTCAATATGCTTCCGGGAGACTTGGGATTTCTGATATTTTGTTCACTGACATGCTGGTTTCTTAGCACACTGGACGAGAAGCGCAGCGCCTCATTTAAAATTCAAACACTTTATTCCCTATGACTCCGCCGTTTACACCTGGCCACTTCAAGCGTTTTCTGAGATCGGATAGCGATCCGATCGTGAAAAGACCAGGTGTAAATGCCCCCCGAAACGCATTTGAGACGGATTTGAATCCGATCGCTCAAACCACTTCAGGAGGTGGTCTGGGCCGCATTCCAGACGAAACTGGACATCGTGTAAATGCATCTGGTTGTTGAAACCACATATGTAAATTTTACTCATCCCCAAAATGCTAAGAAACAAACGTGTGAGAGCGTATTATAGGCTATATGTCATGCTATTTTAGTCAGATATGACGACGCTACTGCGACACGCATTACCTCAGATGAGCAGCTGAACGCCAAGCCAACGCGCCGCATCGCAAATCAAAGTGAAAGTAAGATGCAGACGATTAACACTACCATAAAAGTAGTCTAAAGAAAAGAAATGATCTTACCAGGACTGTTGCCGCTCTCTTTATTGCTGTCTTTGCTTTTTTTGAAATTAGCCAAAGATCAAATTTCGGCTCATATCTGTTGCTTTCGGTGACGCGCACTTCATTAAATCTGCATAGCGCGTGAATTGAAGATCGGATTTATATCCGTTTTGCAAAAACACATTTATGTGACCAGCGTGTAAATGGAATCGTTTTGATAAATCAGATAGCTATCCGATTTGAGAAAACGCATGAAGTGGCCAGGTGTTAACAGCCCCCTAGGAGTGGTGACCGGCGGCACATTCAGTCAGTGTCTGTCCGCGGCGCCCAGCAACGGCTCAGCAGAACCTTGTTCGAAATCCTGCTTTGCCACAGAGTGCCATTTACATAGTTTTATATAAAATTTACTTTTATTTGTATCAAACCGTCGTTAATGTAGGCTACATACTGACTTCACTGTGTGCTGCAATTTATATTTACTTTTACATTCATTTTCAGAAATCAGCTGCTTAAATGAGAATTGCTGAGGTAAAGTGTTCTGCAGACTTCAACGATTGTATTTAATTGTACAGTACAATTATAACATAGTACAGGCATTATCTTAATTCCATAATGTCTTTAGTTTAAACATTACAATATTGCCGGCCATAAACTTGCGCGTCCGGTGTGCAATAACGTTACCTCTTTCCTAGACGCGGCGCGCGCTTCTCGTCCGGTGTGCGATACTTCTGTCCTAAGACGCTTCTCGTCCGGTGTTATGACACCACACAAATTGAGAAACGGGCATCATAAACAAGTGATTAACAAGTGCTGCATGGTGCATCTCAAATTGTCTCTTAATATTTTACTTTTTGAGAGACTTTTTCAGTCAGCATTTGAAAATTGGGAGAGCCATATAAAATCCTGAAAAGAGCCATATATGGCTCGCGAGCCATAGGTTCCCGACCCCTGTCTTATACGGTAGGGGGCGGTAAAACTCCTAAGCGGTGAGCAGCCGGTAACAAGAAGTAGACGAATGAGAACGTCCTCGTCTCAGTTCTCGCGCATGCGCCCATAAGGAAGTAATGGAATAGTGGAATAAAGTCGTTATTTATGTTTTTTTCGCACAAAAAGTAGTCTCGTCGCTTGATAAACTTATAATTGAGCCGCTGTAGGCACATGGAATATTTAAACCTTTTCTTTAATGACTTTATGGGCCGTCAAGAGCCAGTCCCATAGGCAGTCTATGTAGGACTGATCCAGCTCTCAGATTCAATCAAAAATATCTTTATTTGTGTTACGAAGATGAACGAAGGTCTTACGGGATTGGTACAGCATGGGGGTGAGTAATTAATGACTTCATTTTCATTTTTGGGTGAACTAACCCGTTAAGTGTAAACTGAATTTTGTCTTCAGGCATAATAAATTTAACTGAATTATGTGTTAAATGGAAATGTATTATAGTTCAAATTTATATTAAATGCAATTAGCTGAAGTTAAGAGTGCTTATGTGCATCTTACTGTCCTATCAAATAAAAATTAAAAAAATCAGCTCTTACTGGTGTTAGTGCTGGTTGTATTGGTGTCATCGGCTGTTGCGGCCCGTGTGTTCTGTTGGTCCGATTCTGTTGACACGGTCCTCAAAACATCTCTGCTGGTGGTTTTGGACGTGGTGTTACTGTCTGTTCCACACATTAGCTCACTGAGGCTTCCAAATGGATCGGACCTGAAGTCCAAAGTACCTACCGCACTTAGCAGCGCTGAAGACCCAAAATTAGAAATCTGAGGGGAGAAAAAAAAAACAAAAAAAAACTGGAAAATCTCCACATATACACATTCAGAAATGACTCTTATGTTCACCAAGACAGCATTTGTTTGAACAGAAAATACAGTAAAAATGGTAATACTGACAGTAACTATAAATAGTATCTATTTTGAATGTATTCCTGTGATGCAAAGCTGAAATTTCAGCATCATTTCTAAAGTCTTCAGTGTCACATGATCCTTCAGCAAACATTACATGCTGATTTTCTGCTCAAGGAAGCAGTTGTGCGGCTGCATATTTTTGTGGAAACCGTGATACATTTTTTTCAGGATTCTTTGATAAATAGAAAGTTCAAAAGAATACCATTTTTTTTAAAATAGATATTGTAAAGTGTTACCATTTATATCACACACACATTTGAACAGTTGTTTACTTAGTTTGCTTTATTATCTGTATGAAACATTTGCATTACACTATCTGTGAGCCATGAGCAGAACAGACCTGTGAACCATTGTTTCTCTGGAGGAAGATACAATAAAAAAATCTCTTTAGAAAACATACTGCATACACACTTCAGGCGAACATTTGTCCATCCCATAACTGAATATTATGGTGTAATGTCATTAATTAATGCCATGAATGTCTAGTTCACGGCATATCTGCATAATACAAGTCCATCTGTGCTTTGCATCTGTTGGCCTGGCGGCTAAGCCGGCTAATGCCAAACCATGAAAAGGTGAAATGGTTTTTGGTGCGTGATCAAGACAGCACCTTCATAATCGAAAAAAAAAGTGTAAACTGTGTTTCAGTCTCACTTAACGAGCATAACAGACATAAAGGCTGTTCACTCAGAACGAAGGTGACAGCTGTTGTGTTAATATCAAATGACACGGTATATTACTTTCCAGCAAACTTCCAGCTGATTTTATTTATATAGCCATGTGCATGCAAACAGTAATGGACTGCACAGAAGCATGGGTAATAGAGCACAACAATGACGGCCCACTTTTTTAAGTGCCCTTGGTTACTGAATTATTTTCCTATTCATTTTCTCTACATTCAGAAACGTATTCACTACAGAGCTCTAATCCTTGGACCAAACCAACCAGTTCTCAGAAGAATAGCACAATATATTACTATAAAAAAGTATTCAGTATAACTTTATATAGTAATATGGAAAAAAATATGATACATTTGAAGTGTATTGCAAACAAAACAAGAAGTTTGAGAGTGTACAGAGATTCGAAAATTCCAAAACAGAGGGTACAATACCAAACCCTTGACATTGATTAAAAAACGCATTTAGTTCTGGTCCTCAATTTTTATTGTCTGTTCACAATGTTCTAGAACGGGGTACTCCAGTTTGGAGGGCAACAGGGCCGCATTTAAACCACATTAAAGCAAAGGGCCAGAAATTACAATTTGTATTCTAAGACAATTTGTATTTTATTTAGGCCTACTTAAGACAATATTTGAAGAGTTCAGATGCAAAAGCCTCTAAGTGCCATTTGAAATTTTCTTCTAGAATGATCATTTTTATCAAGCTTGTATATTTAAGTTCAGTGATTTCACTTAAATAGCAATGATAATTACCTATTAATTGTTATTTAAGTGAAATTACTGAACTTAAATATACAAGTTTGATAAAAATCATCATTAAAGAAGAAAATTTCAAATGGCATTTAGAGGTTTTTGCATCTGAACTCTTCATTTGTAGTTTTACTGAGTATTTACCAGCGCAGTTTATTATCTAGCTAAGTCTTACTAGTCCTTTAAATAAATAAAAAAATGACCATTAAAAGGATTAATAGTTTGTCTTGTATAAATGTAGTATTCTTAATGCAAAAGTGGATGAAAAAAATGCCAAAATGCATAAAGAAAAACATACTTGAGGAAATAAACTTAACAAGAACTGATAAAAAGAAGTGAAAAGTCTGCATTGTTTTCAAAAGTAATTTCAGGTCTGGCAGTTGATCACTGCACTGTAAAAAATATTTTCAAGATTTGTTATCACAACATATTTTCTTTTGTCAAATCAACTTTACAATAATTTATTTAGTTGAGATAACTTATTATTTTGAGTTTCTGATGGTTAAATTAATCTACTTCATTGTATTAACTCACTTTTTCCAGTTCAATCAACTTAAAATTTTAAGACAACCCAGGTTACTTACTTTAAGTTAAACCAACAATATTTTTTTACAGTGTAGTAATCATAACATTTTTTCTGTTGTCAAATCAACTTAAATAATTTATTTAGTTTAGATAACATATAATTTTGAGTTTCTGATGATTAAATTAATCTCCTTCATTGTATTAACTCACTTTTTCCAGTTCAATGAACTTAAAATTTTAAGGCAACCAGGTTACTTACTTTTTTAAGTTAAACCATCAATATTTTTTTACAGTGTGGCTGATCTGAGACCATCTGTCAGCAAGACAAAAACGTTGCACCTTTTCATAGTCCTCTTTTTTTATGCTGCATTGCAAATTGACATTGAAAATTAAAGTTTTGTTTATCCTGTTGCTAAGAGGACCATCGGCCACTTACACACTGCAAAGTTTCAGTAGTGTCAAACGCATTAAATGACGAAAAATAAAGTTATTTTGTTTTTTAAAGCTGCAGTCCGTTGCTTTTGGCGCTCAAGTAATAAACAGAAATGCATGCAACCTTTTTTCAACTGTAAAGAACCTTTAGTGCAATGAAAATGTTCTATGGATGTTCAAGGTTCTTCATGGAACCATGCCAATAAAGAACCTTTCTTTTTTTTTTTAAATGCATTTTATAAGACGTAAAACATATGTAAACATAAACGAACTGTGCATGTGTGTAAGTTTTGTTAGAATCTGATACATTATTTCAGGTATACACCACCCCTTCCTATCCAACTGAAACTTTATTTCCTTCAAGTTCAAGATGATGTTTTCCAGTCTGATTGAGCCATCAATCCGATAATAAACAGATTATTTGGGTGCATATAAATAGAGGCTGAGGTAGCTAGAGGACCTCACAGGCAGATTGCATTTTGTGAGACAGCAGGGTTTAGCAAAACTGGAACAGCTCTGCGCTTTAAGATATCGGACAGCTCTGTGCTTTAAGATTGTAAGATGCTTCAAATGTTGTAGCAGTCTGTCTCTGCATGCGAGTTGTTCGCTTGTAGATGCCAACAGATGAACAAGCTCTTCAGGAAAACTGGAGCGCACACTGGCAATCATCTGAACCCAATGGAGGCTGTGCTATTCCATAATGTTTTAAACTATGCAAACTTTATTTCTGTATGGAGAAAATAAATGGGATAATTCCATAACCTAAATGTTGTGCTATAGCAATGGAAATAACATAATACGAATGGTTTATATAAATAGAACCAAAAAAAAATTCCACAAAAATATGAAATGGCACAATTGTTTTTAAAACTGATAATAAGAAATGTTTCTTGAGCAGCAAATCAGCATATTAGAATGATTTCTGAAGGATCATGTGACACTGAAGACTGGAGTAATGATGCTGAAAATTCAGCTTTGCATCACAGAAATAAATTAGAAGAAAAAAAAGTTCACATAGAAAACACGTATTGTGGATTACAATAATTTTTCACAATATTACTGTTTTTGTATATAATATAAGTAGCCAAGAGATTTAAAAACACTCGAAACTTTTGAAAGGTAGTGTATTTCAGGAAACCATCAGGATGTCAAACTACAAGGAGTATATAAGCTGTTTTATTTTCTATAACTTATTTATGAGTTTTACAATTTTAGCAAATCCTGTTTAGCAACTTTAGGATGTCTAAATAGGTGTACTTTTGTTATTTTTTAAATTATATTTTTTCATTAATTAAACAATAAAAGTATTCATTATTCTTAAAATAAATAAATAGTTGTATAATAAATACAAAAATACATAGAATAACATTGATAACAGTGGAAATGAAAAGCGATTACAGTATTTACTGATCTTCCAGAGAAGATTTAGTTGGTGTGAAGATATGTTTGTTTATCCAACATATCTAATAGGTTTCGTAAGACAAAACATGGGATTTGTGCCTCTAAATTGAAACCTCATGGGACACACTATTGTATCCTTTTCCTGGATAACATTTTACATTTGTAAAAGATGGAAGTCCATTCATCCAAAACTGAAAACTCACCACTGTCATTAGTGGAGTGATATGAACGCCGGTTTTTGCCATCAGTACGCCCGTCTCCAGGCGGTTCAGACCCAATGCTATTGGAAGCTGAATCAGAAAAAAAAGAAGAAGAAAAAACTCATTTTAGTATTACTGATTTTTTTTTTTTTTTCTGAGCTTAATTGTGTATTACATGGGTTCTGCCTCACAGAGCCAAAGATTAAGACTGTATTACTGAACTGAAGCGAAGTACGGTTCAATCTATAAAGATCATTAGATTTTCAGAGTTTATTCTCGGAGCCTGGGATGTCAGGCAGTTAAAACAACCTTAATAAACTCCCGTTCACTGGCCTCTTAGCCAGCACTATCTCTGTGTCTATCTCTTTGACCTTCACACATTCAATAGCGATTACTTTAGAAGGAAAGGGAGGTTCAGAAAGAGGCAAAAGGGAAGTGTGTGTGTGTGTGTGTGTGTGTGTGTGTGTGTGTGTGTGTGTGTGTGTGTGTGTGTGTGTGTGTGTGTGTGTGTGTGTGTGTGTGTGTGTGTGTGTGTGTGTGTGTGTGTGTGTGTGTGTGTGTGTGTGTGTGTGTGTGTTGAAGTATTTATCTGCACAGGGGATTCCGTGGCAAATGGCTTTTTCTTTATTCATCTGGAGAACATTTATGCTCCCAACCTCTCAGAACCAAACCCAAATCCCTTCAGGATGAGAGTGGATGATAAATGTCTTAAATGTGAATATAAGAACAAATGGTTGAACATATATGAAAGGCCAAGGGCAGTTGTAACCTTTCCATATTTCCCTTTATAACTCAAAAACTGCTACATCTTTCTGACATATTTTTGTAAACGCATAACATGTTTATGTGTCAAATGGAATAGTACTGTACCGCTAAAAATATTTGAGAGATCATAATGTTGAATTTAACAGCCCTGTTATATGTGATAATTATATGAATTTATGATATCCCAGATAAGAGCACACCTCAGTTTTTTTTTTAAGTTGCCAATGCTATAATGTGTTTAAGCAAAAGTTTAAGTGATGTCTACATTATAATTATTTGAAATGGGTTAAAGTTCTCTCTAAAAGCAGGTAAGCAAAAGATTCACCTTTGTTTTCTGGGTTGTCAGATTACAGGTGAAACTCAAAAAATTAGAATGTCGTGCAAAAGTTCGTTTATTTCAGTAATTCAACTTAAAAGGTGAAACCAACTTAAAAGAAGGTTTTAAGCTGTAAGCCATAATAATCAAAATTATAACAAATAAAGACTTGAAATATCTCACTTTGCATGTAATGAGTCTATAAAATATATTAGTCTCACCTTTTAAGTTGAATTACTGAATTAAATGAACTTTTGCACAATATTCTAATTCTTCGAGTTTCACCTGTAATATGCCTGCCTTGATTTGATTATTATCTCTGTATTAGATACAAAATTTCTATCAAATCATAAATCCACAAAAATATAAACGGGCAACACAGAATTTCGAAAAATTTTATATGGCCCTATTACTGTAATAAATAAATAAATAAATAGTTAAAGTTTTATGAATTCAATTTATTAGATGTTGATTTAGATGCTTTTTAATTATTAAAAGTTAAATTTATCATTAAAACGGAATGCACAGAATTTGGGGGAAAAAAATATTAAATGTCATAGGGCCCTAAAAATTTAATTACTCATATATAAACATCCATATAATTAAACCAATGCACTTTCCTTTACTAGATATTAAGAAAATAGATGCCTTGGACATGACCTTGTTTCACTGTTCGACATAAATCACATGTTCAAGTGTTTCTACTGTATACTTCTGAAGAAGTGGCTGCCCTTCATTGAGCTCAGAGAGTATATCGGTCATGTTCACCACATAACGCAGTTATTTAACATCCTTCCATGTCTCTGCCAGACCCAAAGACGCCTATTGTGTCCATGCGCTCCTCTCAGTGCTGCATTCCATTTAGTCCCATTTGTAGCTGCAGAGCTTCACTTCTGTTAATAGTTTTATTCTGTAAGAGCTCCTGAGAGCTTTGTGTACAATATGTGCCCCCCCCTCCCCCCTCTCTCTCTAAGATGTGTACGAAGGTGAGATTCTGAGGAGAGATTTCTGAACGTTCCAAAGACATTCTGCGCTGCTGAAAACACAGACACACTCATCGATGCTGTATAAATGTTTTACTTCAGCTGAATTTAGTAATGCATAATATACTATATATATATCAAGTTTAATATTTAACGCTATACAATAAAAACGTATACACATTTAAATTACATGTCTGTTTTATATCAACTTTTGAAATTATATAATTATTTTTATGAAACAATTTGTATTTGAAACAGATATAGTGACTGTCATAACAGATTCAAACATATTAAATAACTAAGTCAATAGATTGTGTATGTATATAAAATACAATGAATATATAATAGCAAAATGCTTCTCTAGTTATTTATCTAGGTAAATAACACGTTTATGAACATTGAATTGCTTTAAGGTAAATGTAACATTGCGTGACATTCTTTACAAGCTGTTTTAATGATGTCTTTCCAAGGTATAAACACTGATTGTTTACAAGAGATGTGATATGAAATTTGATATGGTCTTTTTTGACTTCTGATGTTTAAAATGGTGATTTTGTGCTGTAACTTGTAGTAAAGAACGTATCTGTCACTCCACATTAAAGAGCGGAAACATTTTATATGTTATTTTTTCCTCAAGTAAATATATCATGTTATTTTTTTAATGTAGTAAAATAGTCCCACTCACAGAAATAAAGGAGGTTTACTCACTGCATTTAGAAGTTTCATGTTGTCAACATTCTGCATGAATACTTGTCTGGCTTGAAGAAGCTGATTGGCTGTCAAGGAGCATGTGATATTCTGAAAATCCGCCTTCTGATTGGATGAATTAAACTCCAGGATGCGATTGACTGATTCATCACTGCAGAGCACAGAGCGCAGATCTCCCTCACTTGAGAGCGCAGGCAACTACACAACAGAGAAGGAAACAGTTAGGATATCAAAACAAAAACTCAGATGAACATCAGAGACACACCTGCATGGTATTTCAGAAATCAAAATTAACTTACCATTAACATATACCCTGGCCCGAACTCTCGGCTCATTAACTCGAACTTTGCTCACTTAATTGTGTGCAAATTCTAAAACCAGGGTCTGGATTAAGTTCATATTGAAGGAGTATGGAACTTGACATACCCAATGACATACCAAGCATATAACCAGAAGTCACCATGGATATAGGGCTGCACAATTTTGGAAAATAATCTAATTGCAATTTTTTTAACCAATTTTGCGATTGCAATTTAACATGCGATTAGGCTACTTTAAGTTCTATATTCTACTTTATCTTCTATATTATTCAATAAATACAAGCAATAAATCATTGTATAGTTAGGGATGGGAATCTTTAGGCACCTCATGATCTAATTTTTTTTTCGTAATTAATATTGTTAATAACAGTTAAAAACAAGCAATAAACAAAGAGTGCTTTCAGTATTTAAAATAGGCTGACTGAACGTTTTCCATTCAAGAGCTGTGAGTGATTTGTCTTCTCAGTTTAGATAAGCTGCTATAAGCTACACTATAGCTATGCACAGATCCCTTTTGAAATATTTGAAATATAAAATGTGGTTTAAGATACCTTGTTTACATTCATTTCGCGTCATAAAAGTATTTTGAGATGCCACATTAACCAATGAGTCGCTCACAGCCGCATGCACGACCGCTCTGCACAAAGTGTCAGTATTTTAAATCGAATATCAGAGAATGAGAATTCATAGAACATAAATTTGCCTTAGTAGAGCATTTGTGAGGAAAATTCTGTCGGGAGAGACCGCGAACTGCAAGATTAACATCAAGCAAAACGGCAACCAGTGCGATAAAGTCCTTGTACATGTCCTTGTAATTCGTTTCCGAACATTATTTTTGGCTTGAGCGGTTTCACTCGTGTGCGCGCGTTTGTGTTTGTGTGTGTGTGTGTGAGAGAGAGAGAGAGAGAGAGAGAGAGAGAGAGAGAGAGAGAGAGAGAGAGAGAGAGAGAGAGAGAGAGAGAGAGAGAGAGAGAGAGAGAGAGAGAGAGAGAGAGAGAGAGAGAGAGAGAGAGAGAGAGAGAGAGAGAGAGAGAGAGAGAGAATATGGCTGTTTCTATAGCTCACGTTGCGTCATCACGCATCTCACTTAAGCTCAGACTCGATTCTGAAATTCTCTGAATATATTATTAAACATTATATATTAATTATATATATTAAAACATAATAATAATCACATAAATCAAACATAAACTGTTCTTTCCTGTTTGCCAGGCCAATGCGAAGCGTGCCAATTTGAGGCTACATCCATATAGACTGACTGCAGACTGTTTTTCTCTCGCGTCACATGACCAGAGTGTAATCGCAGCTTTTGCAGTTTAAAAATCACGTTTCATATCGCGATATTATCGCAAATGCCATTAATCGTTCAGCCCTAAAATGGACACTATTTTTTTTACTATGTCTACGAAGAAGCTCTCTATATAGTATATATATATATATATATATATATATATATATATATATATATATATATATATGTATGTTGTGCGAAATTCAACGCCCACTGGATGGAACCTCATCAATAGCATGCACTGAATATTCAGGGTTCAGACTTGCTGTTTTGGAACTGAAAGTTGAGGTTATCTGCTTACCCTGAATAAACGTACCCAAAACCTACTTTCTAGAATACCGCCTGGAATCATTTGAGTTTAGATAACATTTTGAAAGATCAATATAAAGGCAACATTTTTTGTTGCTAAGTTATACTGAGCCATGAACAAATACTTTTTTGTTTTGTCCTCACAAATGAATATATTTCACAATTGAAACCTGATGATCCATATCTCAGATCAGCGATTGCAAACCTCAAAAAGGGGGTTCATGAATTGATAAAAAGCTACTAATTAATCAAATGCAAAGTTAAAATAAAATGTTGCTGCACTACTAATCAATCGATATAGCTTAATGCCATATAGGGAAAAGAAGCAATTGCATCTTCTTATCTCGCAATTCTATGGAGCCCCTAGAGGGACTTTGACTTTGCATGCGCAAAAGAAACTCAAGTGCGCTAGCGATAGTTTTATTGTTCGCACTAGATACGTTTCACGTGAGCATTTTAATTTTTAGAGGTCCCTTTAGGAGCTCTGTACAATTCTGACATGTTTTTTTTTTTTTTTTTTTTTTTTTTTTTTTTTTTTACAATTGCGAGTTATAAGTCAAAATAGCGAGATATAAACTCGCAGTTAATATCAGGCAAATCAGAGAAAAATCAGAATTCCAAGATGTTAACTTGCATTTGCGAGAAAAAAAGTCTGAATTGTGAGACAAAAAGTTGCGATTACCTTTTTTATTTAATTAAATCACTTATTCAATAAAAAATGTGAGCATCGTTAATTAAATAAGAAATTAAAAATTAATTAAATGAGTACCGGTATGTCTACATTTTCAGCACTTTTATCAGTATTAAATAAAGTGTCAAAATAAAAGCTTGAGGATTTGAATGTTTGAAAGTGAGAAATTTATAACATTAGTATTGTAACTTATAGTGTGAAATAAAACATTTGTTTTAGGCCTTTAATTATCAAAGATTCTTTTGCCATTTTACATGACAATTGTAATTTATAACATCAATGTTTTTATTTCTTCATTTTTATAATTTGAGTTTAAATTGCCCTCTAAATATTTCTGTGCCTATTGAGATTTGCTTTCGAAGTTTAAACTACATGTGTTTGACATTTTACTGCCATGTGAATCTAGCTTAAACAACAAGCTTTATTGCTGAGGTAAAACACAGGGCTTTGTGGATGTGATTGAGTTTCTGTAGAAGCGCCAGGACTCTCGGCTGATTTTTCATTAAGGGATATTGGATCTCCTCCAGTCTGCACTAAAATATACAGCGTCGCTTTATCTTTCTGGCTCTCCATCTGTCTTTGTAGATGACGTACCTGGCCGAGCCGAACTTTCACCCTCATCAGGCTCGTGGCTGTTGTGCTTGGCACAGAAAGGCTGTTCGTCAGATATTCTGAAAACGTCTCGTTGGTTCTCAGCAAATTGCGAAGCGGAATGGACTGACCTAACAGAGAAATTAAATAGGGAATATTAGCACATTGTTCTTAGTGTAGCGTACATAGGTTCAGACAGACAGAAAATATAAATTTTTTTTAAAATCTTATATATTTTTTGTAGTCTAAACAAACAAAAAAAAAGTATTCATTTCATTTCACATGTATCTTAGAAAATTCTGTATAACATGTTTTCAAGAGGAGGTCGAAGTGTATTGCGAGCGCTTTGGGTAAATTGAGGTTGTGATTGAAGGAGAGGATGTGGCTTATTAAACACGTGTTAGCCCGTTAAAGACTCATTTAGCTATAAGGCAACACGCTGTTTTGTCATCATGCAACTGCAAATTCCTCCCACAAGCTTGCACAAAGACCATGAAAGCCAATTAGGCATATGAAAGCTTGTGTGTTTAGACATCAAGGGTGGATGGAGGTCTGACTGCGCCCTAGAGAGAGCTGTTGTAATTCTCATGAATGGGCGGATGTGTTTGAGAATGTGAAAAAAAAGAAAGAAACCTGACCCGGCTAATATGTATAGAGCCGTGCTAATTAGCGGCCCAGCGCTCGACGAGTATCAGACAGCGGCGCTGATTACAGAGGGCACATCATTACACTCTGCATCTTATCTGCGTCTTTGTTGTCATCTCTACAATCCTCTTCAACACCAATCAGGTAGGTCGCAGACAGACCGGCTTACGCACAAACACATGTGCGCGGATAAGCTCTGTTCGAGAGAGATTGGAGTCGTCACCTCGCACCTTAATCATCTCCGGCTGCCATGGCGTCACCCTGCGCTCCCATTGGCCGCTTTATTCCACGCTCGCTATGATTGGCCGCCTCTATCGGCGAGTCTCTGGCAGCGTTGTGAGTTAATTACTCTCTCTTAGATCTGCTGATGAATTTAATCTTGTATAATAGAAGTTCATGGCCCCAGAATGCAAATAGGCCTGCAGCGGTGACCACGTCCTGACAACACGGCCTATTTGCAAATGAGCTCCCTCAGAAATCTGAATATCATTAGACTAAACGGTATGAACAAACAACAGCAGAGCGGCAAGATATACGACCTGCACCTACTAAACAACAACTGCAGCTGTAAATTGCACAGTGCCTCTGTAGTCAATTCAAGTGCGTGTCCATTCTAGTTGTGCACATCATTGTGTAAGAACAGCAATGGCAATAGTAGTTATAGAATATATTTTAATGCCATTGCATCTGAGGTTATCTTCATGTAAAGCGAGTTACAAAAAAAAAAAAATACAATTTGCATAAAAACAATAATAAAAACCAAACAAAAATAAAAAACACAGGCGTTAAGATTATACAAGATGTTTTAAATTGCCATATTATACAAACTCCAAAACTTTTTCTGGTTAAATATTACTTAACGAGTCCTTAAAGGGATAGTTCACTTTGAAATTAATTTTTGATATGTTTTAGCTTACCTCAAGGGCATCCAAGATGTAGGTGTCTTTGTTTCCGCAGTATTTTCAATTTTGACATTCATTTTTCAGTCAAACTGTTGTTGTCTATCAGTCATACACTGTAGGCTAAGGGGGTCCACCAAAAAGCATGCACAGAGAAGTCAAAATTAAACATGATTTAATGACTTGTAAATGTAAGTACACATTGATGGCCTAAGACACGAAACGAGCGGTTTGTGTGAGACAACGAACAGTATTTATATCGTTTTTACCTCTTGTAATCATAGCCATGACAAAATGATCTGACAGCACGGGCGCTTCGGTCTGCGCATGAGCCGGAAGTGATCGCTTGCGTGCCTACGTCAATCTTTGTTTATACAGAGATTTCGGAACTTTTACCTTTCACTAAACATATTTAGATATACAGGAAAACGCAATGGAAGACGATTTCGGTATATCTAAATATGTTTAGTAAAAGATAAAACTTCCGAAATCTCTGTGTAAATATTGAGTGACGTCACACGCAAGCGATCACTTCCGCCGTAACATTGAACTGATTCAGTTCGGTTCAGTTGGACATTGCACAACTGATTCAGATCACTTGGACGTCACTGTGATTACAAGAGGTGAAAACGATATAAATACTGTTAGTTTTCTCACAAAAACCGCTCGTTTAGTGTCTTAGGCCATCAATGTGTACTTACATTTACGAGTCATTAAATCATGTTTAATTTTGACTTCTCTGTGCATGCTTTTGGTGGACCCCCTTAGCATCCAGTGTATGACTGACAGACAAGAACGGTTTGACTGAAAAATGTCCAAATTGAAAATACTGTGGAAACAAAGACACCTACATCTTGGATGCCCTTGAGGTAAGCTAAAACATGTCAAAAATTAATTTTAAAGTGAACTTTCCCTTTAAGTGAGCTAACTACATAAAAATGTTGTCTACTTGCATTAAAATTGGCATATTATTAAAAATGAACTAAAATAGACTATATTGCATGGAGGCATATTTGAACCAGAAATGCACAAATTTTGCACTCTAAACTCAAGTCAACAACTGATTCATTTGCCTCTATTTAGGGCCCAAGCCCTGAAAGGGCGAAGGCCCTATTGTTTTCCTAACGATTATTAGGGCCCAAGCCCTGAAAGGGCGAAGGCCCTATTGTTTTCCTTGGGATTATTAGGGCCCAAGCCCTGAAAGGGCGAAGGCCCTATTGTTTTCCTTCCGATTATTAGGGCCCAAGCCCTGAAAGGGCGAAGGCCCTATTGTTTTCCTAACGATTATTATTATTATTATTATTTATACGACTATTTGGGCACTTTTGGGGCCCTTAACATGCTCAAAAACTCTTGAAACTTTGCACACGGGTCAGAATCCGCGGCCATCAGGGCCGGGCTGAAGATGGTACCCGGGCGTGGCAGGGGGGCTAGACAGCGCCCCCTGGAACGGGGTCCGAAAACTTGGTCCATAAATCAAACACGCTTGCATGTAATAATATGAAACTCGGTGCACATGTTGATCTCATCGTTCATATATACCTCAAACTATTACTTTTTACCCCAGCCCAACAGGAAGTCGGTTATTTAGGGTTGTTCATAAAACACTCGCAATGGAATTTGAAGTACTCCTCCTAGAGAATTCAAACACACGGCACGAAACTCGGTCAGCATGAAGTCAAGGCATTGAGGATGAAAGTTTGCGAGGGGATTTTTGATATCTCAAACGGTTTGGCCGTGGCGAGGAAACGAAATTATGGCGAGAAACGTGAAACAGGAAGTGTGTTATAACTTCAGCATACATTAACTGATCTTGATGAAACTTCAGCAGTGTGTTCGCTGTAAGAGGACGATCACATGGATGTGACTATTGTGAGTCAAAGTTATAGCGCCACCAACTGGCAGCAGGAAGTGTGTCACTTTCAAAATGCTTTGAAATCACCCTCTTATTTTTACCCGATTTGCTTCAAACTTAATCTGTATAATGTAAATACATAGAAGATGAAGACCTGTGAATGGATTCTTGATATCTTTGATACTGTTGCCGTGGCAACGCATCAAACTTTAAAATTCTTTTTTTTGATGATTTTGAGACTCTTAGCGGCTTTTGGGGCCCTTAACGGGTTTGAAAACTCTTGAAACTTTGCACACAGGTCAGATCCCACAGCCATCAGAGCCGGGCTGAAGATGGTACCTGGGTGTGGCAGGGGGGCTAGACAGCGCCCCCTGGAACGGGGTCCGAATACTTGGTCCATAAATCAAACACGCTTGAATGTAATAATATGAAACTCGGTACACATGTTGATCTCATCGTTTCATCTATACCTCACACTCTTACTTTTTACCCCAGCCCAACAGGAAGTCGGCTATTGAGGTTTGTTTGTAAAACGCTCGCAATGGAATGTGCAATACTCCTCCTAGAGAATTCAAACACACGGCACGAAACTCGATCAGCATGAAGTCAAGGCATTGAGGATGAAAGTTTGCGAGGGGATTTTTGATATCTCAAACGGTTTGGCCGTGGCGAGGAAACGAAATTATGGCGAGAAACGTGAAACAGGAAGTGTGTTATAACTTCAGCATACATTAACTGATCTTGATGAAACTTCAGCAGTGTGTTCGCTGTAAGAGGACGATCACATGGATGTGACTATTGTGAGTCAAAGTTATAGCGCCACCAACTGGCAGCAGGAAGTGTGTCACTTTCAAAATGCTTTGAAATCACCCTTTTATTTTTACCCGATTTGCTTCAAACTTAATCTGTATAATGTATACAGCAGATGTAGACCTGTGAATGGATTCTTGATATCTTTTAAACTGTTGCCGTGGCAACGCATCAAACTTTACCATTCTTTTAGGATGCTTTTGAGACCCTTAGCATGCTTCAAATCGCATGAAACTCGACAGACACATCACATTTATTAGCCAGTAGACATGTGCAAAGTTTCAGAAACGGGCGTGGTGAGGGCTCAGTAGCACCACCTTTTGACAAAAGTGGGGTTGTTAGTTTTAACTAGAGTTACAAAAATCGGTATGTATATTGCACTCCTCGAGCCGGACAACTTTCTAATTGGCACTCATTAGCTAGGACCCACAGAAAGTCAGATATCTTTGTTTGAATGTAGAGAAAATCTTAGAATTTTGCCAGTCTCTCAGTGTCTCTCTGTGTGAGTGAGAGGAGGGGCGCCTGTCAGGTTAATTTTAACCCTTTATTTGCTGTGTGCGACTTCTCTGGCATTTTCGGGGGCCTTAACATCCTCTAAAACTCTTGAAACTTTGCACACGGGTCAGAACCCATGGCCATCAGGGCCGGGCTGAAGCTGGTCATCGGGCGTGGCAGGGCGGCTCGACAGCGCCCCCTGGACTGGGATTAGAACATTTGTCCATAAATCAAACACACTTGCGTGAATTAATATGAAACTCGGTACAATTATAGATCACATCAGGACAAACAACTTTCGTGCTCTAAGTTTTACGACAATTAAAATGGAAGTTGAGAATTATGGGTTGTTTGAATAGTTGTCCTAGGAGAAATGCATCAAATTACAACGCATATGTTTACCAATCACAACCAAACTCGGTGTGCAAGAAGTCAAGACATTGAGGATGAAAGTTTGTGAGGGGATTTTTGATATCTCAAACGGTTTGGCCGTGGCGAGGAAACGAAATTATGGCGAGAAACGTGAAACAGGAAGTGTGTTATAACTTCAGCATACATTAATATATCTTGATGAAACTTCATCAGTGTGTTCGCTGTAAGAGGACGATCACATGGATGTGACTATTTCGAGTCAAAGTTATAGCGCCACCAGCTGGCAGCAGGAAGTGTGTCACTTTCAAAATGCTTTGAAATCAACCTCTTATTTTTACCCGATTTGCTTCAAACTTCATCTGTATAATGTAAATACATGGCAGATGAAGACCTGTGAATGGATTCTTGATATCTTTGATACTGTTGCCGTGGCAACGCATCAAACTTTAAAATTCTTTTTTTTTTTGATGATTTTGAGACTCTTAATGGCTTTTGATGCCCTTAACGGGTTTGAAAACTCTTGAAACTTTGCACACAGGTCATATCCCACAGCCATCAGGCCCGGGCTGAAGATGGTACCTAGGCGTGGCAGGGGGGCTAGACAGCGCCCCCTGGAACGGGGTCCGAAAACTTGGTCCATAAATCAAACACGCTTGCATGTAATAATATGAATGAAAAACTTCATCTGTATAATGTAAACAGATGAAAAACTTCATCTGTATAATGATGAAAAACAGATGAAAAACTTCATCTGTATAATGTAAACATACGGTAGATGTAGACCTGTGAATGGATTCTTGATATCTTT